TTCATCATCATTTGTTCAATAAAATTTTTTACAGTTCAGTCATAATCATGAAACATGAGCTTGGGTATCAAACCAAATATTACCTGAATGAAAAGTTCCAAAGGGTGGTGATTATCCACAAGTGATCTTTCTTCTGTGCATTGAGCACTAGGATTCCCAAAGACAATAAGAGGGCAGGACATGTCCCAGCCACCACAGTCACAACCTCCACCTAATCTCCATCTCTCCAGTAATGAGGAAGGACCTCGGCTTTCAGAACTTGGCAAACCATGGTTGCCAGTTGGAACTATCACCTTCAGCCTTTCTGGACTTGCAACGTTATGTAGGCCTTTCTTGTTTTGGTCAACACTAGAGAGGTTGAGAAGATTGGTCTTCTCATAAATTTTATCCCCTCGTGTGTATTTCAAGCTCTCTCTCTTCTCAAATGGATCTTGTATAATAATTGCTGCAATTTCAAGGTCTGGATGCAAATTTGCAGCTGCCCATGGGTTTGATTCACTTGAAGCATCAAACTCCCAATCGTCAGAAACATGATTTGGTTGATGTTTGCGTTCAACTGAATCTGACTTGTTATCCGACTCATAACTTCCTACCATGTTTGGGTTGGAACCCTTGGAAGGTTTGACATGATCATGGTAAGATGTTGAGTATTCTTGCCTAGAGACACTTTGCTTTGCATGGGCAATATCATACAACACAAATTCTTTCACCATAGAGTTGCCGAAGACCCCACCATCTTTTAGTTCTGACCATAGATAACATGAAACTTGCATCTGACCCACCAATGAAGATTCTTTGCCACAATCATTCACTCCCCAGACACTAGCATTGCTCTTCTTTCTACTCCCAGTGGAGTGAAATGTGTACACCCATTGAAAAGCATTATCTGCTTTCCATGTCTGGGCAACATAAACATCTTCAGGGCAATCCAAGGAGAATACAAAAAATGGCATCTCATGTTTCTTTTCCAACTTGAGATGGCCATGTAAGTGAACTGGTGAATCCGCAACACTAGAATGATAGGTATCTGCTTTCTCACACTGAGAGTCAACTTCTGAGCTCTGAGCCATATCTGAGAAGTCAGGCAACAAAGGCTTCCGAAATGTCCTGACCTCTCTACTATTTTCTTTACCAGTGGTTTTTACCTCATCTGATTCTATTACATAGCTCAGACGACTTCGTAGAGACTTGGACTTCACAAATGGATCAAACATCTTCTTGATTGGAGTAAGTCGACCCCTAGAACTTGCCCTGGAGTATTGGGCACTAACTGATGGAGACGGAAAAGAAGGAAGTTCCAGCTTAGCAGAATGTGATTTGTGCAACATCATAACTGTGTCTCTGTCAACAAGATCATTACCACCAACCTTCAACTGCTGAGCAGCCTGATCACCTGTGAAGTTCAGATTTTCATTGGAACCTTTATCTAAAGATTTAGATGATTTTTTATCCCTAAGATCTATCTCAATGAACCCATCAGATGAACATGGTTCTACAGAACTCTTCCCAACAGATGATGGCTCCAAATTTGAATTAACAGGAACAACTTGAGGCCTCTCCTGTTCAATTTCTTCATCCAAACTGCATAAAGAATTCACTATTCTGAAGGAAAAAGAGGTGTCACTGCTACGTGACAATTCGATTTTACTCCTTCCAGCAATAGAGTCCATCTTTTTCATTTTGCTCACCTCTCTAGAGCTTTGATAAACGGAACCTCGCTTCAGCTCTATATTACTTTCAAGCCCAAGAGATCTAGATGGAATGCTCTTGCAAGAGGAACTCCGATAACGAAGAAAGCTTATCTCTGTGAAACCCTGCTTTACCCTCAATTCATCTTTACGCAAAGGTTTCACTTTTGTATTTGTCTTTTCAAGCTCTGAACATTTCTGCAGTGTTGGAAGAACAGTATTAGGACTCTGATCCATATTGCTGCCCTTTTCGAGCTCTAACTCCATTGCTAGCGCCATCATGAGAAATCAAGTCCTGCAGTTGATGGAAGATAACAATTCATTCAACTAAAATAAAAAGGCTTTATCAAGTTAAATGACCATTATATGATAAAGTTGAGTATGTACCAGTGAAGAACAAGGTATCAGCATATTTTTGTAGGAATATCAACCATTGGTAACTAAATAGAGGGAAATGCAATATGCACCTAGAGAATTAAAAAGAGACTTAATTGCTATATAGACAAACAAATCTGGTTTTAATTCTGGCAAAAAAAAAGAAGATGTAAGCTTAAAGAAGAATCTGGAACTTACATCTGCAAACCAAAAAATCAAACTGCCAGTAGTTCTCAAGTTCTTTTTTTTTTTTAAAAAAAAAAAGAATGTACATTAAATCTTAAGTAAGCTACCCAATACGCAAAAATTAGAGAAAGAAATTTAATTCCACCGCCGCTGCAAACTATATATTGTTTTGTAATCCTGAATTTGCAGTCAGACGATCTCAACTTTAAAGGTAACCATTGCTCGAAAAGGTGAGCACGCCACTAGAGATTCCAAACTTTGAGATCACATAAACCTCAAAAAACTGAGTGTGATACAGTAAAACAACTGATAGGCACGTACAAACAAGGAATCAGTTGATCTCTATAAGCAACTAATAAAACATAAGAAAAGTGAGGGAGACAAAGGCTACATACAACTAATAAAAAAGAAAAACTTTATATCGCTTGCATTCTAAGCCAACCAAAAGAGGGCCCAGAGGAAGAAGAGAAAAGAAATAGAATGCTATCATACCGTGATAGATCTCGGATAAATGAAGTGAAAGAAGAAGCTAAAAAATTGTACACAGATTCAATCATTTGGTTTTTATCTCTTGTGGGTAAAGTGTATATGATCGTATAAGAATAAGAAGAGCCAAAAAATGGAGGAAGCCATGTTAAAGAGCAGTCAAGCATGACCCAGAGAGTACAAAGAAGAACTGTAAAAGCAGAAGCCAAAAGCAAAAAGAGAGAACTACCACAAAAGCAACAAAACACAACAGAGACAAAAGTGTAGTTGGGGAGAGAGAAATTACAGAAACAAAAAGAAGAAGATGAAGAAGAAGAAATGAGAGAGGCAGCATGCCTGAGTTACAGTAAGAGAGGGAGAGTAGAGTGGAGTCTCATTGTGTCTCACTCTCACATGAAGAAGAAACAGGCTGCTGTTAGTGTCTAGGAAGTTCAAGAAAAAGGCATCTCCCTCTCAAGCCATCATATAAGCAACTGTTGCTTTGGTTGGCGTGGTTAGGCTACTTTTTTCTGTGGGGCAAAGTTCTAGACGAGCAAAAAGCCAATTATACCCTTAAGAAACAGTGATGAGCCCATATGTTTTTTGGTGGACGTTTTTGTCAATTGAACAATTTAAAACAGGCACTCAATTTTATATATACATATATATATTATTAATGTTAATAGTTTTGGAAGTCGCAGAGATCAAGAATGGGATTCCTGTAATTAATTTGACCGTTTCCCGTAACAAAAGCATTAATAATTAGCAATAATATATTGCAAAAATCGCAGAGCCCACATTGTTATAATTACCATAAAACCCCCTACTGATAGAAGTATGAATTTACGAAAATGACCAAGACCATTTCATCGAGCAAACTAGCCGAATGAAGGCAGCCAGGAGAAACAAGTAATAATCGCATTTCGAGGCAGAAGGGTAAAACAGTACATACAAGCGATTAATATGGGAAATGGGGAGCAAAATTCCAGGGCAATGCGATTGCTTCTACAATATGCTGTGTGTCTGCTATTATTCCATAGCATATCTCTACTAGTTCCATTATTTTACTGTCCACTTAATACAGCGGTCAATTATAGTATTTAACTTATAATATATATATATATATATATTATATAAATCTTTTGATGCCTCGCACAAGACAAATTTCATTAATCCAAAATATTTTTAGTTGTTTTTCCGTTATGAAGAAATAAATACACACAACAAACACGCCCCAAAAGTAGTAATAATAAAGGGAAGGTCACAATCACCTTGTCTCGAGCAAACACAATAATGGCGCATTAGCAATTAGTGTAATACATGCATAAACTTGGAAGAATGATTTCATCATGTTTATCAAATTAGATGACTGTGGTTTGAGTACCATCATGCAAAAACATGAACATTTCTTGCTTCCTGTTTAATTTGCCAACCCTTCTATTATTATGATCATTGTTATTATCATCTGCTATTAAAGATTAAACATGATTAAATAACCATTCAAAAAACTACACCTACCGATCTATTTACTCCAGCCAAAGAGCTACTGACGCTATCAACCCCCAACTCCCATTCTCATATATCAATTTTGCCAACTATAACAGTAATCCCACATGGGGACGGCAGGTGCATGCACACCGTAACTAGGCTGCAACTTAACTATGCTTTTACTCACTACTGATAAAGCAAACCCAGATATATAAAAGCTGTACAAGAAGTCAATTTGCTACCCACCACTACATAATATCACTTACAACCGCCAACTCAAGAAACCACCTCTACTTCCTACTCCACCTTCTTTGAAGATTCGGTATTTTCTTCATCCTTTTTTTCAGACCTTCCAAAAGATTTCTGAGCCTCCAGTACAGGTACATATGCCTCACTTGCCTTCCTGAGAATCTCGTTTGCTGATTTTTCAGATTCCCTTGGGCTTGCCAAGTTTTTCTCTACTCTCTCAAATTTTGCTGTGGCCAATGGTGCTGTCCCAACATTTTTTGCAGAGCTTGGCCCATCTATTGTCAGTGTAGAAACTTCATCCCTAGAAGCATACCAAGAATGTCCGCAAGCAATACACTCCAACTGAATACAACAATAGGGGTCAGTATGCAAGTCAATATATAATTGCAGACCAAATGCACAAGAAAAGTGCTTTTCAACTGCCAGAAAAAAAAGTGATATGATCTATGACATCTTAACTAAACCATGAGAAACTTTCATGAGTGCTTTGGAGACATGTTATACAATTACACTCCCTGCTCCAATGAAAAATACATGTTTTCTTACTTCATAAAGCCCCATTTTTCAAAGAAGGGAAATCTCACAGATTTTCTTTTTTTATTTCTTTACCATAAGCTTAACAACTAACCCAACCAATTTGTCATGCTCCTATCAGGATTTAGGAACCAATAGTTAAATTGGCAACATATAGACAGACACCTTCTCAAGCCTATTGTTAACATAACAATAATTAAACCCAGGAAATCATATTAAAACAATCAAAACCTGCAAGTCAATTTAGCAAGCCTGGTCACGTTGAAATAGATTTGTAATACGAAAATAGGAAAATTAATACAGTAGGTAGCAGTAGCAACATTAGGACATGCAACATCTTTTGGACTTCATAGAGTCATACATGAAATGATGATGATGACAAACAGAACTGACTAATGGTATGACATCTCATTTCAAGAGTACAAATAACTGTGGCCCAGTATTTCACTTCAAATATTGATTTTGAAGATAAATTATCAACAGAACACTTAAAGACCATGACAGAAACTGAAGACAATTTACTTCAAAGAATTTTCCCAAAATAACATGACAACTACCATCAAACGTCTAGAATACAGACAATAATTTGTCTTGATGTCAGAATACAGAGTAATTTGTCTTGATGTATTCACAGGCTCATTTGCAACCTCACTCAAATTACTGCTATAGGTATGTTACAAGTCCTCAACCAGCTAGTGTAGAATTCAGCAAGTTAGGCAGTTTTTAGTAGTTTCTCAAAAACTATAGTGTATCAGATTTTGTTCTTTTTATGTTAGTGGGTAGCAACCTATATCTAATGGATACTTCCTAATGCTTTCTTCTTACCATTATAAGTATAGACTAAACGGAAGGGACAAGTAGTATTAGAAAGATATTTCTTCCTCTATCAAAATAATAGGAAGGAAGAGAAAAAAGCACAACAGTGGAGGACTAGTTGTCCTCCAAAGATTTTGAGTTCCTTAAACACTGGACTGAAGGTTCTCTCTAATGTGCCCTTATATTCACAATAGGTCCTAAGCAAAAAGACCTAACAAGTATTCTTCTTAGTTTCTCCGAGATTTTCCTGTAAGTAATTCCAAATTTGGGACCATAGTGCCTATCAGCTAAGTCAAATTAAATTATGAAGGAAACAATGTTTGAAAATTTCAGACTTGTAAGCCATAATGCAAAACCTGGTAACGGTCCCCGTGTCCTGCTTGAATAATATCCCTTAGGCCCACTTTAAACTCCGAGCATCTTGAGCATCGAGCATCAGTCATCTGCTCATTCAAAAACAGCAGCAATGAGTTCATGTTAAATAAGCAACAATAGTTAAAACAAATATGAGGAAAAAGATAAGTTACCTGCATTCGTTCTGACTCATCAGGCTCCTTTTTTGCTGTCTCTTCTGCCGTTAAACCTTCCTATAATATAAAGCAACTGAGATATTGGTTGACATACCTTAATCCAAAATCACAATGGTTTATACCAACAAGAGAGTAATTAATAATTTCTTCTCATTTTAATTTATTTAGTCTAGTTATTATTTTGATGCTTGTTAAATGAAGAATTACATTCTAATGAAGTTCATTTAAATAAATATTGAAAGCCAAATGTAACTAGCAAGTAGTAACCATATAATGCATTGCTCTTTCAAGATTTAACGGGTATTTCATTTTTTTTTCTTAATTTTCAGATTTGGCAGCATGTATTTCATTTTATTCTTTAAAATTTTTAAATATGACATATCTCAGGACTGAAAGTTAATTTGAGAAGTAACCTTACAGATATTAATGTGGAGGATCAAGCCGTAGTGAGCCTGGCAGTCAATAGGGTGTGCTTGGATTAATTGGCCTTTGATATATCTAGGAGTCCCTGAGGGGGTCATCCGAGGAGTAACCATTTTTGGGAAAGAGTAGAGAATAAAGTAGCCAACAGGCTAGAACGTTGGAAAAAGGAACTTTTCTCCCCAGGAGTTAAGAGTGACTTTGATCCAGGCTTGTCTGTTTACCATATCACTTTATTTTTTGTCCTTGTTCCAAGTACATGCAGGTGTAGCAAAGTGAATTGAGAGACAAATGAAGTAATTTCTAAGGGCAGGAGCAGATGATGGAGACTGGGACCATTTACTGAGCTAGGTGTTGCAAGTACAAAAGTTCGAGGTTATGAGGGAGGATGCATAGCAGGACAATCCATATCCCACTGTATCCCCTGGAAATGTATCTCCCAAACCCTTCCTTAGTTTTTACCCCAAACCTATAGTACATGTGGGAGATGGAACCACAGTGAGGTTTTGGGAGGACACTCCGGTGGGGGATCAACCTTTAGCTTCTTAGTTCCCTCACTTATCTAACTTATCCGCTAGACACGGATCACAATAGTGCATTTTTTTCCACCAGTGAGGGGAGCATGGCCTGGGACTTCCTTTTCACCCTTAACCTATCGGATCCGAAAACCTTTGAATTGTAATACCTATTGGGATTACTGGAATGGATACACTTATCTTCCCAGACAGACACTAGGATATTGTCATTGTAACCATCAGGAGTATACACATGCAAGTCTTTCCTTGAGTTCTTCATTAAAGACCATCCTTTAAGCCAGTTTCACATTGCCAAAATCTTTTCCACAACGCCTATGCTGTCAAAGGTTAGGATGTTTATTCGGACAGTCATGTATCTTTTTCCACATACTAATGAAATGCTACAAATTTGTCATCTTCATGTGCTTCAAAGAAGAGGAACCTTAGTTCCATCTATAGCTCCATTGGGATAGCTAGGAAGATGTGGATAAGAATGCTCGGCATGTTTGGACTTAGCAGGGTCACCTCTCCTACACATAAAGGTTGCTGAAGTTAGAAAGCAAGGAAACCATTGTGGAGAGGAGCTGTTTTATCTGGCTTGTGGACATTATAGCTTGCATAGAACAGAAGAATTTTCAATGATACACAAACATCTTTCCAAGTCATTTTGGGACAAAAATGACATTTCCGCAACTTCATGGGTCAAGGCATACAGTTATTTCTATGAAATAGCTATTTATGATTTCCATCGGAATTGGGAGACTACCATATTTGTTCATTAATAACAATAACTCATAAATTATGTGTTGTAAAGGTTTTCTCTTTCTCTTTTGATGTTTCTTAAGGAGGATGTCTTATTCTCCACTTTGCGCTCGTCTTCCCCTATCCTAATAAAGCTTCTTTTTCTATCTGAAAAATATTTGACAAAACAAAGTTAAAAACTTGTTTAAGTACGAACTAAGTTGTTATTTATTTTTTATTTATTAAATGGCATCGACCAGTGAAAATACAACAGATATGCTGAACAGAAAGTATACATCCCAATCAAAACCCAAGTTCAGATCCACCCGTCACTCTTGAAGATGAGGATGAACCAAACAAACCATGCTACCTCTGTTTACAATTCCTTTGCCAACAGTGACAACTAGAGATTGCTTTGAGCATTATATGGAAGAAAAGACTAGGTTAAAACAATTTTTTTCTAAATTCTCAGAGTCAATCTCCACAAACATAGACATCATCTTAAAGCCTAAATTATATTTTTATCACAACTTATATTATTACGACCAACTTTATTGATGATAACTTGAGGTTACATAAGAAGATTTGAACTTTGGTCACATTTCTAGTCATTCCGGCGAAGCAATTGGTGGAGCAGTTGAAATATATTTTCTTCTTTTTTGAAATAAAAGTATGAAATTATATTGAAGTAAAGGTGTCGAGGGGGCACTGCTCATTTACAAAAAAATTACAAATCAATTAAACAATCGACTATATAGTCAAGATGATTAAAGCATTCGATGTTATGTTCTAAAATAGTGGATCCGAAATAATGGAACCAGTTGTCAGTGATGATTCCGAAGTCGACTTATTTTCCTCGAAAGCACGATTGTTTTTTTCATTCCAAATAACTCAAAATATAGTGAGAGGGACGAGTCTAAAAGTGTTCTTGTGATAGCTCAATCCTTTACATGCAAGCAGCTCATCCAAAATTGATTTATGTTTGACCCAAAAGAGTCCCAAGAGGCCAAGAATAGTAGACCAGGGGTTATGAGAGACTGGACATCCTAGAGTACGTGATTACACGTTTCATTGCTGTTTTTGCAGAAAAAACATCTATTGACAATTATAAAGCCTCTTTTCATTAAATTATCTAGTGAAAAAATGCGGCTCTTTGCTATTTCTCATGCAAAAAAAGAAATTCTTAAAGTGGCACTCGATTTCCAAAAAATATTAACTGAAAATTTTGTCTGTTCTTATGTAATATTGTCACCCAAGGTCTTATACAGGGACTTAACTGAGAAATTACCAGATTTGGTGTGTTGTCAGATGAGTTTGTCATTGCTATCAGTTAGGTAGATGTGAGACAGAGTTTAGGGCAAATGTTCATATTCCTCAATTTTCCAATCTTGCAAGTTTCTAGACAATATCACCTGCTATTGACTCAGTTCGACAGCATCTTTTACTAAAATATTTTTATATCTAGCAATCGCATAAATCAATGAAAATCTTGATTGGAATGCTCCTCTGTCATGCCAAATATCTTTCCAGAAACGAATTTTGGTGTCATTGTCGATGCTCCACCTAGAATTATAAAGAACAAGGTTGTTTAGATTCCAAATGCCTCTCTATAAGCTAGAGCCATAACTGCTGTTTTTTATTTTAAAGTTATCATTGCAGCCATCATTGAACTATTTATTCATAATGATTGATTGCCAAAGGCTGTTGTTGTCATTCCAGAATCTCCATATTCATTTTCCAAGTAGAGCTCTATTCAGTTTGTCAATTGATCACATACCCAGTCCACCTTCTTTCAATGGTTTCTTGATTTCTTTCCAATTCACAAGATAATTTTTTTTGTTGTTGTTGTCACCATCACCCCGAAGGAAATTGCATTGTATGGCCTCTAGTTTGTTAGCAACATTGCTCGTAATATTAAGTATAGATAATAGGTAGATGGGAAGATTTGAAAATGTGCTTTTGATGAGTGTAAGTCTACCTTCCTTGGATAAGAACCTCCTCTTCTAGTTTGCAAGACGACTATGAAACACGTCAATTATCGGATCCCAACAGGTTTTATCTTTGAGTTTAGCACCAAGAGGAGCACCAAGATAAATAATGGGAAGATGAGATAATTTACGGCCAAAAAAACATGCAAGTATGTCACCCAAGGAAATACCCTAAACCACTAACTCAGATTTGTGTTGGTTTACATTCAGTCCTGATACTGTCTGTAAGCAGAGTAAGACACATCACAAGAAAATTAAGAAACGAATATCAGGTTGACAGAAAATGAGTGTGTCATCAGCAAAAAATAGATGGGTAATCTCCATTTGGTTCTCTTGTTGGTCAACAGTAATACCTTTCAATAGCTGCAATTCTTTAGCATTTTCCAATAATTTATTTAAAACTTCTATAACGATGATGAAAAGGAGAGGAGAAAAATGATCACCTTGTCTCAAGCCTTTGGAAACAGTGAAAAAATTTGATGGACCACCATTAACCATGACCGCAAAACTAGATGTAGAAATGCATGTTTTAATCCAACCTCTCCATTTTGCACCAAAACCAAGTCTCTTCAGCATGTAGTCAATAAAGTCCCAACTGACGTGATAAAAAGCTTTCTCCATATCCAGTTTACATAATGTCCCTTTTTTGTTATTCCTACTGGTTTCATCCACTACTTCGTTTGTAATAAGAATAACATATGTAATCTGTCTACCAAAAACAAAAGCATTTTGTGATTCCCCAATAACTTTATGTAAAACAATAGCAAGTCTTTTAGTTAACATTTTTGAGAGAAGCTTGTATATGCAGCAAATGAGACTTATTGGCCGGAAGTCTTTGATGTTCTTCGGGTTGAGTAATTTAGGTATCATGACAAGAAAAGTAGAATTAAGAGCTCTTACAAACAAGTCATGATTATGAAAATCATTAAAGAAGTCAATAATATCGCTTTTGACAACCTTCCAAAATATAAATTTGAGATTAAAATTATCTGACCCTGGGGCTTTGTCCCTATCACAATCCCTCAAGCAGTCAAAAATTTCAGCTTTAGAAAAACCTTTTTTCCAATGATAAGCAATCATCCATATCAACTCTGTTTGGCATTAAATCATCAAGTCTAGGGCGAGAGCCAATGGTTTCAGTGTAGAGTTTTTGAAAATACTTACAAACACCATTTCGTAGATCATTATTGTTTTCTAAGCAGTTGACCTTCAATAGTGAGTTTGTCAACAAAATTGACCCTTCTGCGGTGGTTTACAATCATATGGAAGTGTTTAGAGTTTCTGTTCCCATCTTTAAGCCATTTCTCTCTAAATTTTTGCTTCCAAAAAGTAGCTTCCATTTGGAGTCTGTGCACCAAATCAACTTTCAATTTGTTCCTTCTATCAATATCAT